TACCCAGATTACGTAACTCCGCCTCGCCCTGCTCCGCCCGGACTCGTGTGCCACCGTGCGGCCATCACGTGCCGGGGCCTTCGCGTGCACCAGTGGCAACCACGTCACCCTCCCTAAGTGCCAGCATCTTGCAAACGCCACGCTAGAGTATGCTGGAGACACTGTCCACGGAAGGATTTAGGGAGAAGGTTCAGTTGCACTGTCTATTGTGAATCACGATGCCACAGGCGCTCACTTGAGCAGCTTTTGGTCACTTGCTCAGCATGCCTTCTCTTGACTTGATGCACTGCTGCGATGAATGCTGCGGGGATGAGGACGCGCACCTGGAGTGTGACGCCGCCTGCCCTTCCAAATCGCGCCCCAGCATCCAACTGCCTCGGAGCTTCGCTTCCCTGAACGCCCTAGCACAGACTCTGCCTCCTCCCGGGCCTTCCCCTGCGTCAGGCAACGCAGTCCCTCGTGCCAGCGTGACTGTGGGCGTGATGGTGGGCGCCATGGCTGTGGTGGAGGGCGGCCGCGTGTGTCGGCGGACGAAGCGCGAGGGCGGGAGATCATACGTGTGTCGCGTGTGTGAGCGGAGATTCCCGCGGGCGTACCTCCTGCTGGTGCACGAGAGAACTCACACGCCCCTCACCTGCCCCGTCTGCGGCAGGACCTTCAGGCGCTCGGAACACCTCAGGATGCACAGGTGAGTAAAGTGGGACGATTTCTTAATTAGCAACCAAGGATATGTCCCCGTTAATAAGGCCATGGAGGCAAAGGTAAGGTTCTCTTAGGGATCCCTTTTAATTCTTGTTTTTTAATAACACACAAAATTCCACGTGGAAATCGATGTCATCCTCAGACAACAACACATACACGAACCAGTGACATTTATTCGGGGGATAATACGAAGGTAATTCCAACTACTCTTAACGAATTAGCCTCCTTGGAAAGTCATTCATTAATGCCGAAGAATAGTTTGCCTACTTCTGCGCGGCGAATTTCCTTCACATAAAGTGTAAAGCAAAATATCTGTCGACTTTGTTTATATCCTTCTCGGTGTCTTCTTCATCGCCGTTTATCAGCAGATATAAATATATATCGCTCCCTGAATGTGTATTGTGTGCTGGAGTGTATGTGTGTGTAGATCTGGGATATGTCTTTGTGTGTGTATGTGCGTGCGTACGTGTGTGTGTGTGCATGCGTGTGTGCGTGTATGTGTGTGTGTGTGTGTATGTGTGTGTGTGTGTGTGTGTATGTGTGTGTGTGTGTGTGTTTGTGTTTGTGTGTGTGTGTGTGTGTTTGTATGTGTGTGTGTGTGTGTGTTTGTGTGTGTGTGTGTGTGTGTGTGTGTGTGTGTGTGTGTGTGTGTGTGTGTGTGTGTGTGTGTGTGTGTGTGCACGCGTGTATTTTAACGAGTGTAATGTGTGAGGTATCGATTGGTTTGCAGACATCAGTTTGATTTCTAATACCCTACTCTCCTTTTCCAGAGAGACACACGGCGGGAGCAAGAGGACCACATAAGCAAAGCCGACGTGCCTGCGTGTCTGCGTGCCTCCCTGCCGCCCACAAAGCCGCCCAGGCTAAGCACTCGCCGCCCATAAGCCGCCTCGTCTCCCCAGGCGGCGGGGATACACACTCACACGTCCCTTCGCCGCCTAAACTCAGCCATAGAGAATTTCCATAATCTACTCACGTCTCGACCGCCTCAACCCTCTCAACCCCTGAACCCCCCTTGAACCCCCCTTGAACCTCCCCTCCCCCCTCCCTCCTCCCCTCAAGCCCGCCGCCACACTCGCCAAATCTCTGCCCTATCCCGAGAGCCGCTCCCTCGCGTTAAGTCCTCGTCGTTCGCGGTGTCAAGGGAGTAATGTGATTTATTACGTCGGCGACTCACTCATCTTCATCGCATAGAGCTCAGGATGCAAGTATGCGTGAGTTATGGGGGAAATGCCCGCCGCGATGGCAGCCCGTGGAGTGTGTATTTATCACATCTCTTTAGAAGAAAAAATTAGGAGAAAAAAAGATCTTGTACATAACTACGTAGAAATCCGAATGATAAAAAAAAATATATATATATTGTCCGTCGTCGACAACCTCAGTTCCCCTCGCGACAAATCGCTTAATAACCGTGTCCGTTTCCCTTTTTAACCCCCCCCCCCTTCCCCTTCCCCTCCACTACCTTCACCCCCCTCCCCTTTACAACCCCTCCTTCCACGCCTTCTTCACCCCCCCCCCCTTCGCCACCGCCCCCCGACGCCGACCTCATCCTCCCCCCCCCCCCCCACTTTGCAGGAGTAAGAGACTCGCTCTCCGCCCGCGCCTTTCCACCTTCAACGGAACTCCTCTCTGACGCCCCTCGCATACCGCCAGCCCCGCCCACAGCCTCGAGACCCCGCCCATCACGGTCACGACTCTGCCCGCCCACAACGATTAGAGTCAGTATGCATGTATGCCGTAGCGAAGGTGGACAAACGCACGAGTTATTCCCTATGATTACGGAAATAATTATACGTCG